ACTTCGTATGATAAAATACTGGATTCTGATGAGGGTCAGGTCTTGTATTTAATGTGGAAAAAACATCCAACTAATGAGTTCGTTTCATTTTGTTCATTGTTCTTGTTTCATGTGCAGTTAAAAGCTTCAAATATAAATGCATTGGTTTATACTAGTACGGTGCGGGGATCGGGTAATTTCGGGGACCCCATCCGCGACTTTTTTTTGAGCCGATCGCATTTTCGAGGTCTCCAACTGCAAAATTTCGTCCCCGTCTCCGACTTTTTCGTCCCCGCACCACACTAGTTTATACATGTAATTGTATCCATCAGAACGATCATTTTATTTCAGCTTAAGTGAAAATGACAATAATCGATAAGACATAAAATTCATTGATTTCATCGAAAATGTGATCAGTGGTCTCGATTCATGCAACGTTTTCGGTTATTATTAAGACTACAGAATATTGATGCAATAAATATGCAAGATTGAGTGGGCATATCCTCGACGCAAACGAGGATATCAACTCAGAAATTGATAGAGTGATGAATTTAATCAGTTTCATTTCACTGTTAATAGGCAATCGAGCATAATCATCGGTCTATTGAAAGTTGGTTATAAATGCTTGTATTTGATGGATAGTGCTATGAGAACGTTCAAAACAACTCCGTTGTGTATACTCGATTTTTATGTTCATAACACTTTACAACGAAGAGGCAACGGTCATGCGTTGTTCGAGTATATGCTGAAGGTTATGACTGTTCATCGTATCGTTTCCACTTTTACTCTTCTTTCTGAACTTTCAACCCACTCAAGCAGTTTATCCAATGGACTAATCCAAACAGTCATTCATCCATGATTTCAGTTTATTGTGTACGATTTATATACTTTTCAAATTGTCCTGGTTGTTTACATTTCATATTACTTCAATATGAGTGAATTAACTGAAACAGTGAAATATGATCTGTTCCATGTTATGTTGTTTCGCTGATTTTCATTACTAGAAATACGTTCCAAAGAAGGAATCGAATGACTGGCACGGTAAAAAATAACTTCATTTTCAGCATCAGAAATCATCAGCAGAAAAGATAGCAATAGATAAGCCATCAGAATCATTATTACAATTCATGAATAAATTTTATCGACTCGCAAATCCATTATGGCAACCAACGAATTTCGTTGTCTATGAAGCATTCTTCGATAACGCGAAGGAATACGATAAAGTATTCGATAACGACGATGATGATACGATAAAGCATTCATCGTCTTCAAAAACTGAAGCACTTTTATATGACGAGGAAGTGGGTTATTTCTATTCAATAATTATCTGTCGATTGAAAAACAACAAAACATTTGTTGGTTGCAGCAAATTGAGTTGAATATTCTGTAAATACGAGTGGATGCTAATTTGCAGCTGAGTATTCAAGAAGAGATGCGAAAATTGATTTACTTTGAATTAGTTAACTTAAATACTCGTTCATTGCATGGTTACGTTGTTCTTAATTCATGGATGCAGCTTGTTTATTCACATCGACACGCAGCGTATTCGGACGCTTGTAATGAATCTGGATTATCTTTTCGTATATTTCATTGGTTTGTAAGGTGACAATTTGTGATGTTACAGAGAGAGAAAACACAACGTGCCCGACGATCGGATACAGTAGCAGGTTTAATGTGTAGTGATACGGGCTCGTCGAGTCCACCTACGGTAAGAGCATCAGCCGCTCCAGATACTCCGAAAGGACGTAAGAATACGAGAGATTTTGGGCATCAGTCGATATGGTAGTACTGCGTATTAGGTACCGATATATGCCTACATCATGGATGCTTCATAGTTGTTACTGCTATTGTTTATGTTTCTTGTTGCACTTCTTGTTTACTGTTCACTTTGAATTGTTAAGCCAAATTTTCGAGATTGTTAAGCCAATTTTTTATCGATGTCGATAATTGAGTTCATTTTGTTATCATATCTGAAACAAACTTNATTGCAAAAGCAAATTGTGCATTTATTTATTTGCTGAGTTGAAGGAATGGATTGACGTTTGAATAAAACATAAAAGTATCAACAAAATAAGATTGATGTAAAATAAGGCTATGCTATTTGTGATATTGCATCGGTGTTTATTTGTTGACCTGTTAAAGCCCACTGTGACTTTCCTTATCGCTAGAGAAATCGGCTTATCACTTTCCACCTTTGTTCTGATGCTGCTTTCATGAATATCCAGCAATGCATGGCTATAGCTATTAATCATAAAGGTTTTTCATTCACACGCTCGCGTCCGCATTCAGCAGCAGTCTAAAAAAAAAGCAAAATTGAAACGAATAAGTTTGGGCATTAGTGGGTTAATAATGCTTACTTATTCATTGACTCGTTAATTTCTTGTCATTTTCAGTATGTGATTGTTGTGTTATAATCTCACCGCTTGTTCGCTTCGCATCATCACTTCGCTGCACGTTCTTGATATCAATGCCATTGTTGACACGAGCATTCTGCTTCTTCTAATATTTTGTCTTTTATTCGAATAGATCTCTTGTTTTGGCTTGAAGTTCGTTTAATTGTTACTTAAAAACTGTTCAGTCGATATCGTAATTACTCAATAAAATTTAATGAAATTGATGAAATGGATTTAAAGTCACCAACAAAGAATAAAATAATCGTACAGTTTTAACCTACAGAAGCGGATTGCAGCACATATTAGATGAGTGATAGTCTAACTTTTAATACGATTCACATGAAAGCAATGATCAGGGCATTTTACTCACATTTACAGTTTAAGTTCTTCTACTTTCTCATGACGTCTTGGTTGCAAAATGTTCGTGAATCAGTGGAGGAGTCTGAATTTTAATTAATTTCGATTGAAATTTACACTCTTCATAAAATCTTTGTACATAAGAACGGCCACCAAGAAGTTCAAAATGATTAAAATATAAGAATAAGATTAAAATATATTTATAGATCACTGAAGATAAATCGAAAGTGTTTAAATTGCCGGGAAGTAATTGCAGCTGTAATTATGCAATTGATTATTGAATTTTGATACTTTGCATCGTTGCGTTTTCTCAACCGAACTTGTAAGTCCGACATTTTAGAACATGTACCGGTTCAGATGAAATACACCCTCATTGCAGTTATCAATTCAACATTAATTATGATTATTGTTTATTGCCTCGAATTGCTTGTTCGACGGGTTTCGCAGTGAGCATAAACAAGCATGATATATGCAAAATGATTGGCATTCGGCTTGCATGAATCGCTTGCAGTTGAGTGATTCGTTGTCATGACAACTATATTAGAAACGAACATTTCGACTGTGAGAGAATTGGATAGATTACCTGCTTGCATACCGTTTACCTGCTTCATACAAGCAATAACAAATAAAAGTTGTTGTACATGCGTCTTAAATATTTACGAACAATCATTGAACAGCAGGTAAGTAGTATTTGATTATTATTCACATTGTCGTTAGTCGTTATTTTATCTTTCTCTACTCTTTATTGGTTATAAAAATATTGTTTCGAATATGGTAATCATAATATTGACCCACGATGATAATTCATTTCAAACATCAAAATTTCGAGCTCGATGCCGAATATTGTAGCGAGTGACTGTGGAGCATGTATTCGTTGTTGTTTTGGAACACTAATGAATCAATGATAGGATTAGTTAAACACAAAACAGCAACTGATTAATATCGTTCAGTCTGTCAATGAAATTGAAATATGTCGTCTTATTTGAATGGCGGATTTGAATTGTGGTGGTTAAGGATGGTGCTGCAAAAATCTGTGCAATTGACTGGTCCCCGAATGGAAACAAATTAGCAGTAGCAACTGCGGATCGCACAATTGTATTATTCGATGGGAAAGGCGATAAACGAGACAAGTTCTCGACGAAACCGATTGATCAGAAGGTGAATTTCATTTGAATGAAGCTTAATTAGTGCGGAGTATTCAAATATACAATCAAAATCCCATAAGACAGTTGTCCATTCCTCCATGGAGTATCTGTCTTCAAGTACATCTCTTCAATTATGAAATATCACATGTATGATCATTGTTCATAGAAGAACATTGCCTCCGCATTATTATCGATGAATTGATGATCATCAGCGAGAGCAAAGTAGTGCGTATTATACTNTCATTGTGGCCCGTTATTTGAACGCAATCAAAAAAGTGACTGATTTTCAATGAAAAATCGCAGAACAAATTTCGAGATGCAGATGAAGTTGATGTTTAAAGTCCTTATTAAATTTATGAATTGTGATTGTGTTAGTGAAAAACAAGCTGATCTAATTTTAGTATGGTAAAAAGAGTTACGTGGTAAAGAGTATCGTGTTCTCACCAGATTCGACACGTTTGGCGGTTGGACAAACCGATAACATCGTTTATGTTTATCGACTGGGAGAAACATGGTTGAATTTTCACATAGATGCTCTTGAACAGATACTGATATTTTTATAACGAGCCAGTGATAGGGACAATGATAAGATTAATAATAATAGTAACAATCTAAAGGAATGAAAAGAAGGTGATATGTAACAAATTCGTGCAATCGTCATCAGTAACTTCAATGAAATGGCCAACAGACGAACGCTTGATAATTGGTTTATCAGATGGCAAAATGCGACTGGCATCGTGCAAAAACAATAAATGCTCAACTCTGTATAAAACGGATAAGTTTGTCACGTCAATTGCACTGGAGTTAGTGGATGCATTTATTCATCACATCCAACAATATGACAAATCTTTCAGGATATGAGACGATTATGTGAAATATCCAATTTTAATATATCGATTTGCTAATGTAGTAATGTGTTAGTAGTAATAATAATGTGTCGATGATCTTTAAAATACATCGAATTCTTGAATTTTGAACATTTTCAGTATTATTTTGAACATTTTCAGAATTTTGAACATTTTCGGTAGCATCTTGATAAATTTTATTTTTTCAGTGCAACAGGTCGTTCATTCATCTCAGGTCATAAGGATGGATCAGTGATATTATACTCGTTCGAAAACCGTTCCCAAACAAAGATTATCACGCATCAGTGCGCTCCATATGCATTGACATTCACCTCGAACGGTATCGTATTGGCCGGATGTGATCAACGAATCGTTTCATATACACAGTCCGGTCGTGTTCTGCAGCAATTCGATTACTCTAGCGATGTCAATGAAAAAGAATTCACTGTTGCCATTACAGATCCATCTGCACAAAATGTTATTGTGGGCAGCTTTGATCGGTACGGCACTGTATACATCTTCATGTTAACATCATCGTGAACGAGTCTTTCATGCATCTCAATTACCGTTCAAATTCCAAAGCTTGATCGAGATAAAAACATCCGACTTTGGAGTGTGACGCTCATTTGTATCAGACTCCAAAGTTGGATATTACATCAATTAGTCATATATATATTATTCCTTCTGCAACTGTATCGTTATATGGAGTCGAATGGCTGTTTTGAGTGCGTAACTGATCAGAATCTTTTGATACCTTCAAAGAAGAGCTCACAAAGAGCTGACAGCATGACTTCTACTGTCAAAGACACGTATATTCTTCCTTTTGTGTGAACATAACACATTTTCGTTTTGCTCTTAAAAATTTAATTGCTTGCAAAGAAGTTTGCTGAATAAATTCCACGCATAACAATAGGATGATGTCTTTAAAAATACGCCGATTATATCAACCACGAAAGACTCAAATAGTTCTTATAAGCCAAATCTTGTGTCTGCTCAGACTAGACAACGTTAATAACTATTGAAATATCCGAATTCGAGCAAAATATCTCCGTCAGCGCAGCTTGAAGCAGTGTTTGTTAAGCTAAACAAATGATTATTTATCTGTTTGAAGCAAATACATCTTACTGAATTTGTTCAGAGTACGTTTGTTCACGTGGAATCAGAGACGAGGCGCGTTTGATGAAGGAAAACCACTGGAGATTCGTTATTTATATACTATAACTGCTCTCGCTTGGAGTCCTGATGGATCAACAGTGGTTGTTGTGAGAAGAATTTCATTTCAATAAATGCATTGCAACTTAAAATAACCTTTTAAATCTATTATACACATTGTTTTAATAATATTCTTCATATGAATTGTGCATATTACAGCCGAGTATCAATTGGTTTTGCAATCGTGATGCACGTAAGTGCCTTATCGCTGTTAGACTGAATGATACTTGAGCTAAAACAATGAGCATAATTATTATGATAGAAACCGAAAAATAGATAGATACATTATTTTAGGGAACACTTTGTGGTAGTGTGATCAGTGTAGACTGCTGTCTGAGGCGATCACTTTTGAAGGGACGTTTCGAGACGAGCTATGTGGCACCATCACATGCGATTATCAGAGATATTAACAGTGATAAACGTATAAGCATTAAATCTATCAATGGTTATTCTATTGAGCAAATTAAGGTAGTTTATTGAGGAGTATTTGAAGCTATTTATCGTTAGTTTGTTGAGTAAGTATGATGAGGAACGATTGAAAACGACGCTTTAAAGGTGATGGGCCGTGATCGGTTCGTAGTTGCGTACACACCGAACTCAATTATTATTGCTGACATGAATACCGATAAAAGCAGTGAAGTTACAATACAAAGCGCTGGCAATGAGCGTTTCTTTTTCGACAACGAAAACGTCTGTTTGATTGTTAACGCTGGTGAGGTGAGCCNTCTGTGTACTGTGCACAGCAAATAAATAATTTGCCTTCTTAAAATTCGAATCAGTTCATGACTTTCAGCTCAGTCTGTGTACTGTGCACAGCAAATAAATAATTTGCCTTCTTAAAATTCGAATCAATTCATGACTGATCCGAATTTCAAGAAGGCACATCATCAAGCAGAATGCAACAAACACTTATGCATTCATGTAGCATTCGAACAGATTTATTCGTAAAGAATGCTATAATTTATAGGTGAGTTTGGTTGAATACGGTATAAACGAGGTGATTGGATGGATTCGAACCGAACTAATATCACCGCATTTAATGTCGGTACGATTAAGTGATCACAAGCAAAAGAGTGGCGAAGTTGTGAAACGGATTGCATTTCTTCTTGATGTTAACACCATTTCTGTCGGTAACATTCTTCATACCATCCATATCAGTTGCATAAATAATGTGCTCCACTCACATCATAGCTGTAATCGGCTCAGCAAATATGCTCACTCACTTCCTTTTCAGTTAATCTCATCAGTAACACTCAACTAACGCAGATCTCACATCCTGTTGTAATTGATTGGCTTGAGGTAGGTTGATCCTACACTTACATAGTCACTTTTGCATTTAGATTATCCATATTATTTCTGAAGAAAATTATTGCATTTCAATACAAATATGTTTTGAATTATATTTATGATTAATTTGTTGTTTGAATATGAAATAAATTCTGTTTGATTTCTGATTGTGAGTGAAAATCATTTCAAGAAGATGAATTTAGTTGAGTGAAACAGCATCGAAACTCCTATATCGTGATCGTCGTTTGTGCTTATCATTAGTTGATTTGGAGTGCGACCGTAAAACGACACTGTTGAGTTACTGTTCGTATGTACAATGGGTGCCAAATAGTGATGTGATTGTTGCACAATCTGGTGATCAACTCTGCGTTTGGTATCAGGCTGAAAATCCTGATCAGGTATCGATAGATTAGTTAAACGATGTCAGCTCTTAACGCAAACAAAACGATTCGAGTCGTCTTTGTTGCCATTTCATTTTAAAATTGAAGAACGTTCACAATTTATTGTTTGCGCATATGTAATATCTGAAGAAGCAGCACAATTATGCATTTGATTATGTATCAAATACATAATTGTGCTGCTTCTTCAGATGTTACATTTGCAGAAGTATCAAAATCATTTCATTGCTGTTTTTCCACAAACCATTTTACTTACCACCTAACAATGAACGTCTCATAAACTGTCTATGAACATTATCTCGAAAATACAGATGGTTAGCGTGCCAATAAAAGGTGACATTGAGACGGTGCTTCGAGACGAAAACAGAACTGAGGTTATCGTCGAGGTGATCTATTTGCTTGTTGACCAATGAATATTTCGATTACTTTTCGTTCAGTTGATTATTTAACGGTGATTCATTGTTCTTCGTTTCAAAATAAACATCGCTTATACGTGAATCAGGTTCCATTATTCATCGACCCGATTACTGTGTGTATCAGCATTGTATGTTCAATATCAATTCATGACTTGAAGTAATTTGCGTGGAAGTTTACAGGAGACGAACGCAAAGGTTGCGTATGAATTGGATCAAACACTGATCGAATTTGCGACAGCACTCGATAATTTCGAGTTTGGAAGGGCAGTTGATTTTTTGGAACGGCGTGACGATGCTGATTCAGATGTATTGTGGCGACAACTCGCAGAGGTACGACTGGATAACTTCCTATCTGCTCACAGTTTACTTTGATAGCAAACCCGTAACGACTCAAAATTATATGATGTAATATATTTGTATATATCTGTCTTGTGACATTATTGTTACGAACGATACTGCAATATAACCGCACCAATTTCATCGACTCGTCATCATCAAATCACTGAAAAATCACAATCAAACATAGTTCAGATAGCAATCCAACAAAATCAACTGTTAATTGCACAACGCTGCTATGCAGCCCTAGGTGATATATCGCGGGTCAAAATGCTCGCTGATACCATTCGAATTGCTCAGAGTGCCGCATTGAAAATGAACGATGGCTCCGATGGAATGCAATATTATAAAGTGTTCATTCAGTTCTATTCCATGTTATTTTTAAAATTTCGATATGA